AGTGCAACTGAACAGTCACCCTCTATGAAACAAGAGCTACTCACCAGGTGCACTCTGCGAATACCGATACTCTGGAACTGAGGCTAACTTTGACCCAAAGTCGTGATCATGTGGAATAGGTGAGCCCTCCCGTGATAGGCACTCTGGAGTCTGTAGGCCACTCGAGTGAGGGGACAGCAGGCCAGGGTGAGTAGGGGAGGCAGGAGCACTCCTGAAACACCAGAACATAGTGTTGGCAAGTGTAGATGCATTTCAATCACAAGACAGCAGCAGAGACCAAGAGTCATCTCCAGTGCAGGATTCTCTAGCAGAAGGACAGCCTTTCTTCCATGCTACCCACTACAGTCTTGCTGGGAAGAGCTGAAAAGGTACACAGTAACCTCACAAACGTTCTAGCACCAAATACTGTCATACTATTCCTTGCTGATGGAAACTGGACCCTTCAGAGTATGCTTAACATTTCAAGACCCACTGCTGACACAGAAGCTGCAAGCAAGTGCCTCATGCTCAGATCAGTTTTATAACTTCAGGCCGCTCTCAAAGGATCTTTGTCAGTGTTTGAGAGTGATGGGGAGAGGAAGAAAGATGCAATGTAGATACAAGTGTCTGGCCCCACATATGCTTACAGAGCAGTTGCTCCCCCTTCTCCCCGTTGCCTCCCTCCCCAACCACCTGGCTCCCACCTCTGGTCCCATGTGGCCAAACTCATGAGGAATTGAGCATCTTTTTAATGACAAAAAAAGATAGAGAAGCTGATCAGCCAAAAACCTTTCCTCCTGTTTGCCCCTAGTTTTAAAAGGCAGAAAAGAAGATGTGTGGGAGGAATGTTACATGAAACTGCTCCTGCTAGTGCTGAATTACAAGTCTTCTCCTCGCAGCTACAGGGCTAAGAGAAAGCTGTCATTGCACACAGCTCCTCCTTTGCAGTCACACCGCTGACTGCAGTGGCTACACAGAACATCCCCCTACCACTTCACTGCTGACAGCCGTGATCAACCTGATCTGCCCTATAGGAGAGCGTTTTAAATACCAAAAAAGTTATTCCCACTATGATCTAACCCACATCTAAACACAGCTTTCCTGAAGTGAGAGACTGGCATCTGAAAACACTTACTCCAGTGATAACTGCTTTGAATTTCTTTGAAGTGATGCCAAAACATATATGTTTTTTGATGCATTTTTATGATGTTTCATGCCTACAAATATCTGAAGGGTGGGTGTCAGGAGGATGGGGCCAAGCTCTTTTCAGTGGTGCCCAGTGACAGGACAAATATGTTGTTTGATGCATTTTTGTAGTTTGGTTCTGGATTTTTTTTTTGTAAACACTTAAGAAGTCAAAACAGTTTTTGGATTATGCCTCAGGACTATCTAACTGTATTACCTCTCAAACTATAACCAGAAGTAAAGTTTGCTAGCTGTACTTCAGTAAAATTTTGTTTTCTTTGTAATGAGTTTGGCACAGAGATTAGAGGAAGTTGAAGTTACCTGGAGGAGAGAGGCCCAAAAGGTGTTCGGAAGCAGGACACTCCTCTTTGCCTTCGTTTTCTAAATGCTTGCTCTACTAGTTTGGCTTCAGAGGCAGGGTCAATTCGCCAAAAGGAGCCCTTTCCAGGCTCTTCCTGGGAACGTGGGACTTTAATAAAGTAACGGTTCAAGGAGAGGTTGTGCCGAATGGAATTCTGCAGAAAGCAGAGGAATGAGATTATTATTTTGCCATGAGGAAGCATACAACAAAGACAAATGGGTTTCGACACACAGCTTGGAAAAATAAAATTCACACCACCAGAATTAGTATTGAAGACAGAAACAAGTCACTCAACGCACACAGCTCTGAAGTCACAGGAGAACTGTGAGAAAACCTGGGGAAACGTGTCAGACAGTTTCTATTAACCATGCTGAAAGATGGGTTTGCTTGGTATTATACCATCACTTACATCTGGAGCCAGGCAACGCAGTAACTCTTCTTTGGAAAGCAATGGACATGAAGCTTTTGCTGAGGCAGGGGGAAATCACTGTAAACCACATCAAAACCCTCTCAAAAGACAGGCTTTATTCTAGGCAAGTGGAAAAAACTGCCTGAGCCTGTGCTAACCACTTACCTGCCAAACAATCACTGGGGTGCCCAAACATGCCGTAAAGGACACTGCATTTCATGGCAATCATAAGACAAGCTGGCCAACTTGCCCTGCCTCCAAGAAGAATCCATTATTTCTGTTGCACTAGTCTAGAACTGTACGGCTGTCCAGATGTTCTATGATTCTATGTTGATAAAAACATTTATCCTTTTCATTGCAAAAGCCCACCTCTGACTGGGTGTAGCACTGTCTTTTGGGCTAGGTGTAAGGCTCAGTAAGCCCAGGTGGGCACAAGCTCATTTCTCTTCCACTTTCAAAACAAAACAAGAGCTTTTGTAGCAGCTCTAGACGAGCTCTTCACAAGCAGAGCCTTACAATGCCGCTAGTAGGGGAGGGGAAAAGACAACTTCACCCTCCACTGAAATGCAGCTCTCTTTGAAGAAGGATGCAGCAACTCGTTCGCAAAGCACAACTCTGCCGAGCAGGTTAAGGCAGGAAGTGAATTCCACAATTAATTACAACTGCAGGGAAAAGCCAGGGAGGAAGAAATGTCTTTATTCCAACTGCACTCAAAGTGCACCAAGCACTACTGCTCCTGCCAGTTGAACACAATGAAATCAGCAGCTGCAAGAGTCTTCTCAGCTGCACTAGTGTATTACATTCAAATGACAACAACCATTTCAGAGGTGTGATGCCAAGAAAAAGTCTGAAAGTAGGCGGAGCTGAGGTTTCTGGAACTTTGAAAGCAGCCCTCAAGTGAACATTTAAGCTTGATCTAGCACTTGTTAACTACATCCAGGCTCTCCTGTGAAGCTGGTCAGATTTCCTTTTAACACCACGATGAAGGCACAGACTCAAAGTTCCCCAAGTCCCCATTCTGAGATCCAAAACTCGCCAACTGTGACTTAGGCAATGCAGTTGATACACTGTGAAAACAAAACACCTGTGACGATCTAAGGTATTGTTATGGTTAGAAACTGGGACCTCAGTTTTACGCTGGACATCTTCTGCTTAGACAGATCATGCCAAACAAAGTGAAGGATTAAGTAGTAAGTATCTGGACAGAGAAGTGACTGATAGCAAGGATGTGGAAGAATAAAAAACAAACAAAAATGAAAGACACATGACTACAGAATCAGAATAATTTCAGAAACCAGAGAGCCCAGTAGTAACACTACACGGCCCTAGAAAGTAGTTCGAAAAACCTCACCACCCACAAACAAACCAGTTAGCTTACATTAAACAAATTCACTCTGGGAATAGTCAAAGCAGCTCTATTCCCAGTGCCACAAATCTTGAATAAGTGTGTTTCAAAGCAGTTAAGCCCTGTCAAAGTAGTTTGAAAGCTTGTCAGTGTCAAGAACTCACCTGCCAGCCTTTGTCAGCAGTCCTGTAATACGGATAATGCTTGGTAATGTGGGCATAAATCCCACTTAGTGTTAATTGCCTGTCCTGTGCTGAAGATATAGCCTGCACAATTAGCTGAGCATAAGAATAGGGTGGCTTGGACTCATCCTAAGGGGAAAAAAACCAAACAAATTTAGCCACTAGCAAAGAATTCCTACACTGAAGTTTACCAACAACCCAAACAAAAAAAGCACATCAGGCTGCAGTTTCCACAGATTCTGAGAGAGCAAAGGGCAACTAAGAGCAGCATCCCCCTCTTCCCTTTCACTCCTATTTTATACCGCCACTTCCCAGTTTAGCACAAGCATTTGTGTGCAAACAGGACTAAAGGCATGAGCCAGATTAAAGTATCTCCTTCCCTCTCCCCACGAATACACACACTAAAAGGCTAACTTTAATCTAGTTCCATTTCCCACTGAATTACCACACATGCTTACACCAGCACAACAAACAGGATCAGGACAAGCAATTGGAAACAAAGTTAACAGTTGCAGGGTACCTCCACTGCTTTCAGCATTCATGAAACTAAAGCCTTCAATTCTGCCCAGCTACAACTGAACTTTCTTAGCAAGGTTTCATGCAAGTAGACTACCAGCTCTCCCCAACAGCAAGCCCAACAGTAAACTTGATCCTCTCCAGCAGGATTTGTTTCATTCTAGGAACTTTAATTTGTTTGCCAGATCTCATATTCCCAGCTCTTCATATTACTCCATCAAGAACAGCCCTTCTCGTCTCAAGGGAGAATTCCATCTACAAAAAGCCATCTAGTATTGCACTTCTCCACCCAGTCCCAAATCAGGTGGTTCTGGATCTAGACCTTTAACTTTGATCTGAAGATCAGCTCCCCAAAATTAAGTTTTATCATTATAATTAAGTTTTTTTAATCTAAATTCCACTTGCTGCTCTCCTCATTTAACACTTGTTTGACAGGCCTTCATGTTTGTTTTTAAAGTCAGGTTACAGAATTCTCATGGCAAGCATCTAGTTTCTTCCCCTTTCTCCAACTGTGTCTTGCAAAACACCATTAATTAAAAGGAGAAAACAAGACTGAACTTTAATGCACCTGTTATTCATGGGGTCTTGATTTATCAAAATAGCAGAAAAATTCTTCTCGCTTAACCTTTTTAGTGAATGACTTGAATACATTTTGGGCAGCTAAGCAAACAGACTCAACAACTAATAAGACACTGGTTTGAAGACATGGTCTCAAAACCCTGGAGGATACTGTATACAACACTGTTACGGCCAGGGTATTCTTACAACCCTCTTAACTATATCCAGCACCGCCAATAAACTGCCAGGTCTTCATAAGCCTCCCAATCAGCGCTGCTAGGTAAGGAACGTTTCTTTGAACCTTTGGGCTGTCTCCGCCAGATGCATCTGCCTGCTGTTCTGATGCTGCTTTTGCTGCATACTCTGCTGCCAGCTGCAGATCCGAGGTAATGTTGTGAACAAAACGATATCCTGAGGATCCAGCACCACGTGGACTGGCCGGGCAAGAGTTGGGAACACTGGAGAGGCAAAAAAGGAAATAAAATTATCTGTTGCGTTATTTATTAACACAACACAAAGTTCTTACTCTCTAAGGTACAGTAAAGCTCCCAGGTCACTGAGAAGCAGATATGTGCTGGACTTCTTTTTGCCCTGTGTCTTATCCACAGGAACATTTGAGGGAAAAAATCATCAGAGATAAAATTGGAATTTCTACAAAACCCTGACATGCCCCACCCCCTTTCCGCAATCCCAAGACAGCAGAATCTCAAAGCATTTAACAATACCTCTGTGTTCAGAGAAGCACTCAAAACAATATACACTGTATCAAGGATGAATACTTAAACAAATAGCTTGCCATCATAACTTGTGAATGAACAACACGCCACTCTCCTTATAACACAGGTAATATTTAATCAACTTTTTTTTAACAGATACGGGCTGTGTTCTTTTACAGGATCATAGTTAAAGCACTCAGGGCAGGCATCTGCCATGAGGGTCCTTGTCTAACACAAAACATGAGCTTGAGCAGATCACACCCTCACGAGCTTCACACAGTTAGAGGCAGGGATTTCCTTGATTCACCAGCACACGAATGCAGCTAACCAAAGGGAGCTGCAGTCACTAGTACACAACACAGAAGGTAGCTCACTCCTCAGCTTTGGCTAGCATGAAGACACGTTTAGAATCCCAGGGCCACCACGAGATGGCATTACAGGAACAACTACTGAGCAGGAAAGCCCTTCTAAAACTGATAGAAAAAGCTGCAAACAAATAAAAGGTTGCTATAATTTGCAGCACCACTCAGACATGCAGAAGTGAGTGCTACAAGATGAGAACTAATCAGAAAGGCTTGTCTAGGGATCACACATCCTTGATTTGCGGGGCTGGAAGGACGGGAGGAGAGAGATGAGCCTGGGAATCTGAAGTTCTCTGTCTCTCCTCTGTTCTGTGCTGTCCAGCATCGAGGGGTGCAATGCCAGAGCAGCATGGCGCATAGTCAAATCCCAGGATTACATATGTCTTCTACATAAGAGCAGATAAACAGTGAACAAGAAAGCAAAACAACACACAGAAGATTTACATAGCAAAACAAGCAGTTCAAATTGTATGAAAAGATGCAAAACTGAAGCCCACAGCTAGGAACTAGAATTCAGTAAAACTGGCACAAACAATCCTCCTCTTAGTCAAATGCCCAACAGCAGTGCTAATGTGGACACAAATAAATGCAGTAACTGACACTCACTGCAGCAGTGGCTAACTGCTGCACAAAAAACCACAGAACGTGGTCCCTTCCTCAAAAAGGTGACTGTCTAAACAGCTTCCCCCACATGCACGTACACACGTGGAGGAGCGGAAACAGTGAGACAACCCTTGTTTGCTCAATGGGCAGTACCTGCGCTGCATAAGCAACGTGACAGCGTAAGGAATGATCATTTCCTACCGCAGTCCAGCCTGTAAACTGAGAAGTGCTGCTTCTCCTTGTGGCCTCTTTGCAAATGGCTGCAGTGCTGAGCTCAGCACAACCGAGACTGGTTTCTTTTAAAAGTGAATTCTAGGACTGGGGGGACCTGGGGAGAGGGAAAAAACAACTGATATATCCAGCCACAACAAATCCTTGCAACTGGAAACCCAAGCTCACCCATCTCCCATGCACTAGCCATGCGACGTGTTGCACAGTGTTCGGTAACCCCTGCAGCACCCACCGAGTCCTTTGCATTAATGGGTTTACAATGAAGATGAGCCCATATGTATAAATCTCTCTTTGCCAGAGATAAAGGCATTTCTTACCCAGCCTTTCAGCAGCAGAGACCTGTTTGTGCAGGAAAATGAATCAAAGTTCGCTATTCCACACTTTGAGCCTGCTTTGGAAGTGGATAATGCTAAACCACAGAAAACACTCTTGATGCCTTAGTACTCACATGAGGAGCTGGTGTGAATTTAATTATTCCGCTGTCATTTTTCAATAGCTTCTCCATATATATACTTCTTATAATGTGTAGATAATTACATATGAAAGCCATTTTCATACATGAAACAATCACAAACTAAGAACACAGCAATTCTTTCTATCTTTATGTTTGGCACCCAAGCAATTACTGTAACACAAGGACTGGGAATGGAATAGGATGAAACAGTTTTCCGATTTTGTTGTCGGCAGAAATACATGAACAGCAAACCACGGAGACAGCAGCCAAAACTCAGGTCAACGACATGGAGAAGAGAAAAGTTCTTAAGTAAATGCATGCGCTGCACAGAGATGTACTTTCGTTTTTTTTTTTTTTTTTTTCAAATAAAACTAGTATGGCTTCGAAGATCATCCCATGCAGTTCAGACAAGAATTGGTTTGATTCTTCAAGATCAGCAGAGCAAGTAGCTCAGATTTTGCTGTTCAGATTTTAGCTTTTAGTACTATTTTTTGCCTTTTTTTTTTTTTTTAATACAGAAGGAGAAACCCTTACCCTGCAGGGCTGTGATTCTCCTGAGTCTTGACAAAGCCCCTCCAACCTCAAGTATTGTTAACTTTTAGAAAAGCCAGTCTCTCCCAGCAGATAGTCACTGAAGAACCTGAAAGTCCACTAAAGCAGCAGCTGCCCAGTGGGACAGCCCAGTCATAGCCGAAGATTTGGAAGAGGTATTATTCTTTTACCAGAACAGAGCACTTCTACCCAGATAGACCTGCTTCCTCTCAGCCTGGATCAATCATCAAATCAAGAGACATGGGTACAGAACAAACACCACGAACTTTCAGCGACTCCATGCAGAGAGACAGGGTAACACATGCTGCTAAGTGCTCAAGCTCTCAGTCCATCATCAGAGAGCTCTTCAGAGGAAGGGAGAAAGAGCTGACTACTGGAAAAAACAAGGAGGCACAATCTGTTGTTGCCTCCCCCTGCCATGGGACAGAAGGGGTGAAGAAACAGTTTTACTAAAAATACCTCTCTGAGGGTTAAGTTAAAATTATACATCGGTGCAGTCAGAAGAAAACAAGCAAACACAATGCAGTGACATCAGTTTCCTGGAGTTCCTGGAATTCTCCTAGCTACCCAGGGCCAGAGCTGGCCAGGGACACTTGTGTGCACCCTTTAAAAATACTACAGAACAAAGAAACTTCTCCCAACAAACACCTGTTCATGCTACAAAACAAAAGTTAAGCATGCGGACAGTGATTATGATTTGTTGGATACTAATATTGCATCAATACTTGGAGATAACTTGATCCATTTTGATACTATAACTTTCACTGAGAAAAGCACAGCTAGGTTTGCAATTTCACCCAGCTCTCAGACATCCCAACTTACTGCTGTGATCCATGCTTACTGTCCATGCAGGCAGTCTTAGCTTACAAGCAATCCAAGCTAATTTGGGTTGAGCTTGTCTGTTACGGACGAGGGCATTCTGAAGAGCAAGCAAGCGTTCTATACCACTGAAAGATACACAAAGCATGTGAGCAAACCAGCTGCAGTTAGCCACAGTCTTAATCCCATGGCACCACAGTTAATGCCCCAAGTCCCAGAGATCTTTCGTATCCACGGAGGATTCAGCATCTCAACTTCAAACACTGACTGCAGGCAGCCATTGAGCTGCAGTTCCCCAAATATCACACTGAGACTCAGCTTTAGAATCAGACTACAGCCACGTGCTGAATCACGTCGGTCCTATGCAGCATTTTCCATTTAACATTTAACACTTCTTTGGCTGGAAGGCCAGAAAGATGAGGGTTGAACACAGCATCTGCAATCCATTCATTCATGTAACAGGCAGAATGCCTTTTGAACACCGGGCTTAACTTCTGGCTATTAAGAACATAACAGGTCTCGCAGCATCATGATTCACTTTCAACCCCTGCCAACAAGAACCCAGCCTCTTAAGTTCACAGCACTTTCTAGCAACAATTAAGTCTTTAAACACCAGCTGTTGGAGAAGATGTACAACTTACTGCATTGCTGCTGGCACGTCCAATATCAGTTTGCTTTGGCTCAACAATCAAGAGTGCAAAAATAGGATTTACTACTGTGTGCATGATGTGTCCACACCCAGGGCACTGTGTGTTGTTTTGTCTCTTCTCATTTAGGAAAACAAAAAAAACACGGAGGATACAGCAGATCCAGAGAAGGTACTAACAGGGATAACTGGGATGATCAGAGATAGGGAATGAATTCCATACAGGAAACAGTTTAAGACAGAAGCTGAGGTGCAAGGTGACAGAGCCTATAAAGAACACAGCCAAGGAGAGGTGTTCAGCTCCTGGCCTCTTCCAACAGAAGATCTAGTGAACACAAACCCAAACTCAGCAGCATGGCCAAAACAACAGAGTGCTTTATGCTTGGTGTTACACTGCAGAACAACAAGATGTAAGACAGGGCTGATGCAAAAAGCTTACGTGAATGCGAAAGGCCATTATCCAAGTTCTTGGGGAAAAGAGGAAGACTGAATCCATCAGGGGCTTTATCAGACAGATGATCTGGAAGTCCCTGCCCCGAGGCATTCCCTGATCCAAGAAAATGGTGGGGGCAGACCGCACCTAAGTTAGCATTACTCTGTTTTCTGTGTTCTTACATTACCCCAAAGATACCTTTCTGAGGCAGAATACTGGGCCAGAGGGATCTGTTGCCTGAGCACATACAGCGATTCTTACGCAAAGATCTCCAGACTCTCAATACTAGCCACATTTTACAGAAAGGGGAAAAAAAAAAAAAAAAAAAAGATGAAGCAACAAGTGGTTAAATGATTTATTTATGGCCACATTACAAGTCTATGAACAAGCTGGGAACAGAAACACTCCCAAACCCCAGTGCCAATTTCCCCAGAAGGAGAGGCAGTACAAGAATGCAGGAAAGCTGCCCTATTACTTAGTTTCATTCCTTTCTGCAAGAAAGGTATCTGTCGGGATCAAGCTATAGAGGCTTACTGTAAGCTAGGTATATGGATAAAGTACTTTTGCTCTCTGTGACAAAGCAGAAATATTACCTAGGATCCCACACAAAGATGTTCACCTAACTTGTAATCTGCATTGCTA